GGGGGGGGACAGAAGAGTGTTTCAAAGACGAAGGTAGAGAAAAGGTAAGATGAGCGCTGTAGAAGAGGTCAAATATGACATGCAGTGGGGTCATGGGAGTTTGAAGTCAGAAGTCAACTGCCAGTTAATAGACTTTCTTGCCTTATGAGTATATGTTGCCCAGGGTGCACCATGTAGAGGTAAGTCTATCGCACACCCCTGAAGAGTAAATATCGAATTCATGAATGCGACCAAAATAAAAATTGTCCTTAATATTGACGACAAATGATACCACTCTCCCTAAAATTTAAAACGACTATTATGTCAAAAATCGTAATTTTGACTAGAAATTCTTACATTTCGTTTTAATTTTGCTATAACTAAATATACTCATTACTAACTGGATATTAGAGGAATAATTTTTAGAGCATTTAAATGATAAAAATTTGTTTTTTTCAATGCGAAGTATTTCTTTTTATTTGCAGTTAAAATGTTTAATATAAAATGAATATTGTAATTCACTTGAAGTTTTGAAAAAAAGGTATTTTAACATGTGTTAACAAGCTATTTATCTGTCATCGTTGTTGACTATCTTGCTCGCAAGTAATTTGTATCCTAAGACGGTCCTCAATTCTGACCAGCCTTTTCTTTCTAACTAAGTACATGGAAAAGGGATAATTTTAACCCCTCGAAAGTCTCTAAAAAGAATACTTTCAGCTAATTTTAAATAAATTTATCAGTGGCCAAAATTTAGAGCATCTTAGCACTCTTGTCGGTGCACGCTTCTAAGTTATTTTGTTATTCTAAAACTCAAATAATTTCATTTTCCACTGATTTCATTTTGAATAGATAAGCACGACTTTTTAGAATTTTCATAAAATATATCTAAAAATTACCTTAGCTCATATCTGATTGCAGTTGCAAATATTTACCATGTAAAAGCAATTTAATACGTAATTAACTTATTGATTAGTTGAAAACCTACTATTAATTCCATGCTCGATTATAACTATTTTTTCGAAGTCTATTATTTATGGGAATCAACGATCTTGAGAAATATAAATTATTGGTTGTTATTTTTCAGAATGTTTCAGGGAACTATACAGAATTTATATGTTTATAGCATCTTTTGCATAATTGTCATTAGTAGAAAACAATCAAAATATGAAAAAGATTTATTGTATGATAGAGTTTCAAATTTTGTTTAATTCGGGAACGATTAAATTGCTTAATTATAAAAATAAAATTTTATGCTCTGTTCCTATATCATGAAAATATCTTTGCGGCATTTTTTATGTGTTCGAATTTTTTTAGAAATACCAGCGTATGAAATTGCAACGAACGATGTGAGCGTTTCACAAGTCCTGCTTAAAGCTCCAAAATATCCCACCGCAACCAGTTCCATTAGAATCGGTGGCGGTCGAGTATCAACGATTGCCCTAAAACAACACCCATCAATGCATCCAACCGTATCCGATATCAGTAACACTTACTACGTTATGGAGAACATTCATCAAAATGACTTGAACTCCAAATTGTATTCTTCCAAAGAATCAACTCCTGTGCACAGTCATCGATCACCGTCCAGTGGAAGAAGCATCAAATCGGAGACAAGTCCCCTACCGGGACATGCCAATGTGAACATTATCGTCCATAATGACTTTGAGAAGAGTGCTACAATGCACCACAGAAATATGCTTAGCTCAGACGATAAACCAGCTAAGGTAGGCCATTATTTAAAAAATTTAATTGAAGATTTATTAAAACGTCCAAACTCAACCCATTATTATTCAATTCGAATTAACAAACATTAAATCGATTTTTCAATTTCGAAATACATGTATATGGAACACTTTATGTGAAATATGCTGCATTAATATACCAGAATTTATATTTATTATAATGATTTAAAATACCATTATTTCAAGTATTTCTAATTCTTTTATTGCAGATATTTCGGATAGCACCCAATCTTCCACCAATTGAATCTACAAGAAACACATTTAGGATCGAATTGGATCCTTCAACCATGTGTTTTATAAAAGAGAAAACACCGTGTGATTGATCCAAGTGTCGTTGACCATAAAATTTGTTGATACTAGCCTTATTTTTAAATATTCTCTATTCAGTTGCCTAAAGGTTAAACGGCGTAGAAAGAAAAGAATTCTGTAAAATGTATACGGGAGAAATGCTAACCAATATAGATGAAATAAGTTTTACAATATTGTCTAGTCTGATCGCATTTGAGTAAACATACTAGTTTATGGGAATGTCAATTGACCTTCATATTCAAAAATTTCATTTTAACTCCAAATTAGCTAGCTCTTCATTTTAAATACTTGATTTAATCTTGGCAAAGATATAGGATTTCTTTTTTAGACGTTGAAGTTTAAGGCTGTCAGAATTTCTTTTTCATTAAAAATGAAATTCTTATGTGATTAGGAGGTGTGGATTATTAAAAATTTGCAAATCCTGAAGATGGCTTGGCCTTTCATTTCCACTGGTGTTCTAACGAAAAGAGCACATTCATAAATGACTCGGAAAAAACTTTAAATATGTAGGGTTCAAGAAAAATGCTCCAATAGAATTAAAAATGAATTTCACAAAGAAATTGTCACAATTTCAATCTATTTTAATATAATTAAGTTAAGCATCAATAAGCCGATTTGTTATTGACTAATTACAATTTTTGTCCAATATAGTAGATTTCACGAATGATAATCAGCATAAACCACTCTAAGACAAAACAGGAAATTACTGTAGTGAAGATGTTTTCGGATTAGAGCCATTCCGTTATAAATTCTAGGGACAGTGACATAGGCAGAACTATTGCAACAGCATGAGGGCAAATGCAGGAATTATTAAAATTTTTTGCAAAAAGATTTAGATCGCATGAGGTGTTACACATTTCACCATTGAATAACGACGCAAAACGTATAAGCAGCAATTGGGTTGGTGGTCGTCTTACAGACATAACATTAGGAAAATAAAGTGGATATGATGACAGGGACAAGGCGAAACCATAAACATGACATCGAATCACAAACCGACGATGTAGAATACTACCATTTTGCATAGTAAAGAGTGAAAGGGCTTTTAAAATGTCAACCTTGAAAAAACAAATTGTTTCCATAGATGTTAACTAATAACGCTATCGCCCCGTGAGTTTGACATTAATTGAATCATGCCATCATCTATATGTTTCTAGGCAAGTTTGTGCATATGGTTTTTGCATGGGTTGTCTACAGTGCAGCAACAACGTATCACATATTTACTCAGCAAAATGGTTCATGGAAAGAGACTTGAAAGAAGGATCGTTCGGGTTATGACATTTGAAAAAAATTCAATCGTTATACTAACCAAATTGATGCTATTCCAGCCTTCAAATCACATTCGCATTCAATTGTGTGGCATTTCATCAACCTTATATTTATTTTGGCTTAAATTAGATGTTAGAAGTCCTCATTGTTTATGCAAATTTTTTTCATTAGTAAGGACAAATATCCGTTAGGGCCACTTTTGATAAAATCGAAAAATTTAGGAAAATAAGCTGAAGGTTGCTTCTCAATTTTTGTCAATTTGTTGTCGCAGAAATATACCTATTTTATTCTCGAATAGAGGTCAAGTTGAGATTCAATAGTGGCTAAATTTTAATTTTTGGTGGAAGATGGGTATTTTTTATCTACATTATTATTTGATTTATAAATACATAATATAGTTTTTTAAAAACACAAGCTTTACGCAGGTATGATTGTTTTTTTAATAAATATTCCTGAGTGTAACTCGGGTAAGAAATCATATGCTGCGGGAATACTCTAAGCTGTTCACTCCATTGACAATTTTCAACTTATAAGGTGCATTTATAATTAAAACTGTGAGCAAATACTTCCCATCTCCTTAAATGTCTTTACTAATTCAATTTAAAATATTTGCTATCTATAATTCTGATTCAACAATTTCGTCTTTCTGGAGGAAAGATTAAACATAACTAGCTTCAAATAAAATGAAATACTATTGTTTATTTAAACAGCCTATAAGTTCATAAATTTAAATGCATTGAAGTGGCTTTGGTGAATGCATAATTGGGCCTCTTTTATATTGGCCCTCAGATTTGCTTCACACAGAAACATGCTTGGATATACTAGATGCAACAGACATTCCATAATTGGTTTATTTACTTAAAACATTTTTATAGGTTGGACACAGAGACTGGTTTATTTTCTAGTTTTTAGTGGTCATCTGATGTGCATTCTATCAATGGCAAACTCGCGATAAATTCCGCAATTAAAATTTGATTTCATTTTTTTGTTAATAGATGTTTCCATAATAAGGGTGTAGCTTTTATAGCAATATTACTACAGAAATAAATTTACGACACTCGGACTTGAAATATAGTAGAAAAAAGGTGAGCTGAATACTGTGGAAGAAGTCGAATCAGACATAGGGTGGAGGTGATGGTAGTTTGACGTCAGAAGTCATCTGCCGGTTAATAGACCTTTTTGCCGTATGAGTATACGTTGCCCAGGGTGCACCACGTGGAGGTAAGTCTATCGCACACCCAGAACTTAAAATATAGTAAACTTGATCTCATCGGTTAATGTGCGATCAACTGATGCATTTTAAAGACTACAGTATTGAGAAGGGTAAATTCTTTTTTACTAAAAGCAAAGACACATCATTACTCCAATCCCAAGTGAATTGGAACCTCCGTTCTTCGGTTTGTTTACTCACTTATCTTCAACTCCTTAATTTGTTGCACTCCTCAATGAACTCTTTTAACAGCTCATTATTTGGACACCTTTTTCACGCTTAAAACTCCAAATGTTTTCATTGTTTTGTAGTCAACAAGCACAACAGAAATTAGCCATAATATTTGCATGTAATGCTAAGTTTTACCATCGATCGAAAATATCACAAGCCTCAACTCCTAGTTCAATAACATTTCTGCACATCTTCTTTTCTGATTTTGGCGGCTCTGTTGAAGGCAATTTGTGAAATTAGCTCAACTCTAGGTTTGCATTTGTGGAAAAGCCAATGCATACTTATTTTGCAGAACCTACCAAAATTATGACCCACAACTTCTTCTTAATTCTAATTTTTCTTCAATCGAAAACGCAAAGCCAATTTTCAAGATGATTGAAATCAGAGCTTCAATAACTGAGCTATCTTTTGTGTAGTTAAGACTCCAAGCCCCTTCCGAAAACTCAAATTGCGTCCCATCTGTAATTAAGGCAATCTTAAAACCATGTCTGCAAAAGTAATTCAATGGAAATATTTTTGGCTGAAGAAAAAATGCCTTTAAGGGGAAGGCAGGAGCCTTGAATTTTGCCATTGTTCATGCAATTGACGCGGGGTATATTGATTTATGTGATTACAGTTTTGAGCATATCATTTGCTCTCAATGATAATGAATCTATACACATGATATGAACTCATCTTCATGAACTCAAATATTGCAAATTGGAAAATTTTCTTCCTTATCCTGAATAAAGAAAAGCTTAAAAACTAAGTCATTTACTTAGAATGCAATAGAATTCAAATGCCCTTATTACTACCACTAAAGTATTATTAAATTCCAGTCATCATTTAAAATAATCGGACAATATTTCCAATAAAAATAGGATTCGGACATAGCAAAAATTTAATCAAAACGTTGATATCTGAAAAATGATAAAGGTTTATTTATATCAAATGGCAGGCATTTTGATAGTTATCA